CTTGTTAAATGGGGATTATGTGAATTTTGGGAATCATTTATTACCGGATCATTAATAAGCATCATCTATTTCTCGATAATCTTAATGACCAATTTGGTAACCATAAATTAGCAGAAATATTTGATAATTATTGTAAGGTATTTCTCGAAGGCGCATGGTAATTAAGATCTGAAATATATAAATCCATGGCCACATTACCACCCGTTACACTTTAATTAGTTTTTTTATGCCCTTTTAATCTGTTAATATGAACCTTTATGATCAGTTAGTTCTAAGCTCTATATTTTGTTATAAATACCTTGTAATGTTTTTTTTATTAGTTAGTGTTTTTATTCCCTTTGAATGTGTTACTGTAGTAAATATGAACCCATGAATTGGGTCTGTTAGTTCTAGCTCCATATTAACTTGCATTTCATAGAGCAACTCTGTAAATAATACGGTCCTGTAAGACTACCATACCACATAGACCTACATGCCTTGTTGATAAATTTTACTTTGTATATACATTTTAGTTTAATTTACTCCTAGTTTAAGTTCATTATTTTCCTCTTATATTTGGATGCACCGTTGGGTATTGTCCAACGTGTGCCACTGTTACGAAAGTGATATCCATTAAATTAAGTTTCCAATCAGAATTTTTTGTTTATAAATTCTCGATTATATTTGACGTTTACCCATCTCATCCACGACATAAAGCGGTTGTAATTATTTGCGATTTCCATTAATTCCAATTGTTTATAACATTTACATTTATGGTAACAATTTAGTATTTTCAATGCCCAATAATATTACAGGCTGTTTTCATAGTTCAATATAGACCAAGATTATTTATTTTACGTTTAAATGTAATAATGTTTTATTTACCTTGTGCTATAATTAACGACATTTCCACAATATTTTTAATTAAATTGAATTTATCTCCTTAACATATCAAAGTTGCTATATTCATTGTTAGGCCTATCAAAAATGTTGATACAGAACATTGGAAAATAAAAACACTGCCACCCCCACCCCCAATTTTCAGGACTGCAACTGAAAAAATTGTTTACTACTTTTCATCTTTAAAATCTATTAAGACTTCAAAATATCAAGAATGGCTGAGCAGGGGGGGGGCCCTCCGTCCACTCGACACCAGAAGGGCTATGTGCTTTGGGGTACCTACTGTAGTCCACTTTTTTCCACAAATTCGCACTCATCCTATAAAAATCATACGTACAGGCCTGCGTATTCCTAATGAGTCTTTGGTTTTCTTTATTTACTTCATCATTGTCTTTTGTCATCATTTTTCTTCATTTCTCTTTCACACGTCAATATCGTCTTGTTCTCTCTAACAGATCCCAAAAATCTAATATAGCCACCCTGAATTTAATTTAATATAATAAATGGGTCAATCGATTGGATTGGATTTATTTGGTGTAAACATCAAGGATAGTCTAGAAAAAGGAATTGCTACCAGTAAGGTCTTTCTGGTGGCGATTGGCAGTACACCAGGAAAAAATCCCGTACTATATTCCGAAGAGTGTACTGCATTTTTTAACGTGCATATGACCCATAAATGCACATAGGACCAACGGCTTAAACGTCTCATCCAAAAGACGGTGTGCTATCGTAATCTAAGGCAGATTAGCCGACTGAGCTAAGCTCCTCTATCATTCCGGCTCAAATCAACCACCATGCCCATGTAACCCCAACCCCCTTTCATTTTCCTGACAAAAATTATAAAAATACCATCGTAAAAAATTAGTTAGCACTGAAGGAGTTGAGAAACTAAGTTTAAACTTTATACTTGCAATATGATGACAATCTGTTATTTCCATTCGTTTGGACAATAAAGAAATTTGTATCTTGTATAATGATGATGTATCTGTGTACTGGTATAAATTTCATAATCAATATTAAGTGTCCATGGGGTCATCCGGTCGGTCAAGGGGGTATTTTTAGGATCAATGGTCCTGCAACCATGTTCGGGACCACATCATAATAATACCTTCATTATTACCTCGCAAACTTTTATATATGTAGTAGTATAGGCCTATTCATCACATGTTCTATTTTAGCTTCCATACTTTAAAGAATAATACGGCCCTCCGAAAAATCGAAAATCTATTTTCGCACAATGCTTTGATGAATATTTGAAGAATAAAATATTCTAAAAGAAAAAAATATGCTACCCAAATTTGAATGGCGTTTCTTGAAAGAGGAGTTTGAAGCTGAAATTTTGGATTCTTTCTTTTGAAATACCAAGAAATTTTAAATTTCTGACTGACTTGAGCTGAGTGACCCAAATATAAAATAACAATAATTGTTTAATTATTGACATACTATTATTAGGTTATATTGCAATCAAAATTATTGTTTTTAATTCTCATTTTATTTGATGGTAACATGATGGCGTGAATATCTAAGGCAATCCTAGCAATCATCTGAATGTAATCGGTTGTATAAATATAAATCTGAAAAAAACCAAGTCTACATTTTTATCAGTTCTTGACAAGTAGTTAAATCTAAATTTACAGTGATGGAATCAGGAATTTGAAATGTAGGGGAGCTGAGACAATATTTTTGATTACAGCACTTGTAGATGGCCGGAAATTGCATTCTCGGACCTAAATTTGGTTACATTTTTTCCCTTTTCTCCATTTTATTTATAATTTTGAATCCGCCACCGATTTTATTATTACACGACTCAAACTATAAACTTCAATATCCGTCCTATGGGTCTTGATTTTTTCTTGATAAGTGTAATTAAGATATTTGTTAAAGTATTTTTGGATGATCTGAAATATTTGAAATAAATATGTTAACTTGCGTTTTATTCTCAAGCTTTCGCTGGTTTTTAACACACTTAATCATGAGTGAGTCCATGCACCTTGGTTGGGAACAATTCGTGAAATCTCACTGTCGGTGTACCTATTGACCATTTGGGTTTCCCTGAATGGGATTGTCGGGGGAAAGGGGGGGGCCCTTCTTCCTTTAGTATATTGTTATATGGTTTTGGCAGTTCCAGTCTGTGGTCAAAGATGGCACTACACCGACAGTGAGATTTCTCAAAATCGTTCCCAAGGTGTATGGACTCGCTCATGATTAAGCTGTTTTGAAACCAGCGAAAGATCGAGAATGAAACTTATTTATTTCAAATATAGGCCTATTAGATCATAAAAAAAATTTATTTCTAACAAATAGTCTTATATTTGGTAAAACAATTGTTGGTTAATTTTAATTCATTTTTTAGGTTATATTTCTTAGTTTCCTTTGATTTCTGGTTTCTGTAAATTTTTATATATACAGCCTAGCAGAATAAAAACTGTTAGTTATTTATTATTATTATTTATATTATGTGATATTCAGCTTCTCATATTTGCTTACCATCGCCATATTGTCTGAATATATGGGTGCATGCAAGCATGGGTTAGAATGTTCTTATAATAGCAGATTTCCGTTCTCTGTCAGCAATCGTTTGCAACAAGTATTTAAAATAAAGACTATTGGAAACCATAGTAGTCTTAAAGTGCCATGTCCAGACATCCTGGTTGCTAAACAAAGTTATTTTTTCAACTTCAGCCCCAATCATGGTGAAGCGGAGGTGTATGTGAGGTCTCCTAGTATTTGCTTTCCCTCTGATAAGGTTTGGCACCCCTTCCTCGCCCCCCCCACCCTCAGCTGCCAATAGTTATGTATACGTATAATATAGTCTTTAAACTAGCAAATTACGACCGGAAAACAGGGGGTCATCTTATAAGCTGGACATACAAATGTTAGATTTGATTTTGTCCCCTGAAAATGCTCATTTTGCAGCAACATAGCAATTATTAACTTGAAATGTGTAACCTGATTTTTATAACAGATAAAAACAATAAAACACTTCCAAGGATTGAAGTCTTTCTAACATTTCCGCTGTGAAGATTTTTTAGATGAACCAATTTTTATAAGTTGATAATTTGTATTTCAAAAACGATTTTACATTTTGGTATTTTTCATGTGACAATACATCTTTAAATATCACTACTTAACATTTTCTTTTGTTTAAAATGTTCTTCTTTTGATTTTGTTTCTTTTTTTTCTACCTTGTTTAGCAAACTCTTAAAAAGAGTAGGGGATTGTATCGTTTTTCTACCTGTTTCTTATTCTTATTTCCTTTTTTTTTTTGCAGATGCAGCAACAGAACATGAACCATGCTGCAAGACATGAAAAGTATATTGAGGTTTTGTGAACATTTTCCTGAATAGTGTGATAGCATAATCCTTATAAAAGAAGGTAAAGTAGCATACAGTCAAATTTTAAAGTGTCAAAGCATATGGAATCATCTGCCTGCTTGACAAGGGTGTATATTGATGGGGTAATACAATACTCCAAGTATTAAAATACATGTTATTGTTTTGAGATTCAATATTTTGACATTATGTCGCTCATCTTTCCTCATGATAATGACATAATTCATGTCAAAATATTGAGTCCAACACGATGGTGTGTAATTCAATACTTGGACTATGTATTATACATTCTTATCCGAGATTAATCAGTCGACCTTTCAGTAATACTATACAATACTGGTTGGAATTATATTTGATGGTGTTTGGAAGAAAGCAAAACAATTGAAAAGCATCAGAGTTGGCCTACCTGCTGCTACTTAGAAATTGTGTTGGTGTTAAAATAAAAAAATATATAGCATTGCAGTACTTGCTGCTATTTGGAATTGGGCTTTAACACTAGCCACTAAATGCAAGCTCAGTTGTTCAATTTCCACACAAATGACTTTATTTGTAAGTATTAGAGAAAAAACATTACTGAGCATTCATTATGATGCTAAGTAACACATAAAACACCATTGAATGGCATTACAGTACATATTACTACATGAAAATCGGATTTACACACCAGATAACTAGCCTGGTGTCTATCCACTAGAACACTGACCTTGCACTTAACCAAAGCAATATTTGTGAAAGTTACTGCGCATATAAAAACAATATATGTAATTTTTTTTTTTTTTTGCAGATGACATTCAAATCTCTCAAGATAACAAGTAATTAATTTTTGATATACATCAAAGAATTATAAATACTGTAAGTATTAAGTGAAATATAAGGCCCGTAGCCCACTCTCAAATTTCTCAAACAAGTCTTCCAACCAAACTAATGCATTGCAGACCCGGCCACCAGGACTCTGCTTTTATTAGCATTATTTAGACCCATAATGCACAGAAATCCTCCGGCTTTGGAAGTTTCCGCGACCCAACCTGGACCCTGGACTCCACGCCCAGAGAACCCTCCTTAGAAGAACCTGGCTACGGGTCTGAATATGTTGAAGCTTAAGAAATTATATTAACTTTATTATTACCTTATTATCACCTGTTTGTGACTAATTTTTTTTTTTTTAAATTTATTTTTGGTAGATGCGGCAACAGAGGTGCAAGACAGGAAAAGTACTGCTGCAGAGCAAGACATGGAAGAGAAACATTGTTTAATATAGGCAATTTAACTTTCTCTAATTGAATTTGTGATGCCTAATAGAATACATACAGAAGTTTAGCTTGAACATCTTGCTGAATATTGCGATGCCGTAATCCTGGTGAAAGATACAGCAGTTTATTATTTATGAAGTTATTGCAGCATCAAGGCAACAATTGCTTCATTCTGAAAAAAATTAGTATATTGTACAGAAGATATGAACTGGCTAATTACAATATGACTAGAGAACCAGAAACCTACTATAATTTATTAATATCTATTGTATAAGCCTATATAATGAATGTTGATGCCTAATAATTTACATTTTGTGATTTTGGTTATGGAAATAAAAAATATAAGTAGTGTGTTGTGTCCGTTCTTTTGAAGACTGATGGATGCCGGTAAGTTATGAAAAGTTGTTGCAGCATCAAGACAACAATTGATTCATTCTGAAAATTATATTGTACAGAAGATATGACCTGGCTAATTACAATCAGACAAGAGAACCACCAGAAAGCTGCTATAATTTATTAATACAAGCCTAGCAGATATTTTGATATTCCATGTAATTTACATTGTGATTTTGGTCATTAAGATGATACAGTTAAACTTGCCTAAGTCGAGCTTATTTTAAATGCCAAATTATTGCGTTTTCCATTAACAATCTGCAAGTCGAATATTATCTAATTTTTCAATGCCATTTGGATTTGACTTGGGCAAGTTCAACTGTACTTATAAGCAGTGTTTTGATGTTTCTTTGCTGTTCAAGTTGTGAAGACCGATGGATGCAGGTAAGGTGAAAAAAGCGCCCTCCAATAGAAAAAGGCTATATTTTCTCCATGTTTCTCAATTTCTATTAAAAGTGGTGCTGAAGGGCGCCCTCAATAGAAAGCCAAAATTTCCAGGGTCTCTAAAATTACTATAGTCGGACTCCGGAGGGAAAACAATTTTGATATGTTGTAAAACTGATTTTTCGCACAGAAAAATGGGGAAGGGTGTAAAAATTCTACCAAATATCAAAAATTGTTTTCCCCTCCAGAGCCTAGCTTTAATAAAGGGGCCCTCTGTGGTGCTGAAAACCGCCCTTCATAGCCATTTTATTTCAACGTTTTTAGTGGTCTCTTATTTGCCATTAATTCTATTAAGGTAGTAGAGTGTGCCCTCTAATGGCCAGTTTTTTGTAATTGTGAAAAAATTGGACGATAGAGGGTGCCTTTTAGTGCCATTGACAATTAAGATGCCCTAAAAAACTTTGGAATAAAAAGGCTATTTAGGGCGATTTTCTTCACTATTTTTATCAGAACCGGACAGATTATTGTGGCCAAATAACTTAGTCATATTTTGGGCCTTTTTCTATTCGAGGGCGCTTTTTTTTTTTACCATCCTGCTCATTCAGTACTCGAGAAGAAAAAAAACAATATTCAATACTATACTGAATACAATTAATATTTATTTATTCAATACTATTACAATAAATTATTCAATACTATACTGAATACAATTGATAATTTATTTATTCAATACTATTACAATAAATTATTCAATACTATTACTGAATACAATTGAATTGAATGCTTGAACTAGCAAATCACCAGTTGCCATAACCTGAAAGAACAAGTCATTAAACAAACAGTAAGAAATTCAAAGTAATACAACAATATATAAAGGCAATTTTTTAAAATTAAACATTCATGCAAAGTAATACAAGAATACATAAAGTTCAATGAAAAAAGGGAAAATATTTTAAAGTCAAACTTATTATGCAAAGTAATACAATAGTATATAAAGTCCAATGAAAAAAGGGAAAATATTTTAAAGTCAAACTTATTATGCAAAGTAATACAACAGTATATAAAGTCCAATAAAAGGGGGAAATATTTTAAAGTCAATTTTTATATATCAAACATTTATGCAAAGTATAACAACAATATATAAACTCCAATGAAAAGGGAAAATATTTTGAAATTGAAACAGTCCGATGGAAAGAGTTTAAAGTCATTAATTATTAATTATGAAAAGGGAAAATATTAATTTAAAAGTAATTTAAACAAGACATTTACGATTTCTTCAAGCCACAAAAAAAAAAATTTATGAACTAGACAAATTGAAGCATTAACAGAATATACAGTAATTAGTTTACATTAAATTTACTAAGTGACCAGGGGTGATCATTCCAATTTGGAATTGGCCCCATATAAATATTTGGTATTATTATAACCACAAGTCTTCAGGTAATTAAAATAATTTCAGAAACAAATACCAAATCTAAAATCTGCGTCACTTTTGGTTGGCATTTTGGCATTAAATTTTATTTATCCCACAAAGCAATTTGCAATGGACATGAAATTCTTACTAAGAAAATTCACAAATATTTTTCTAGCACACTCACCATTCAGCAGTGGCAGCAAGATTAGTCATTCAGCCAAGCAGGGCAGGTTGACGTGTTGCAGAGGAGGTGCAATGTCCAAGTTTCTTCAAAATTTCTACTGTAAAATAAATTGCATTAATTAGATTTAGGATGAGCAAATACAAATGCATCATAAATATCAAAATATTTTTTTTTTAATTTTTGTTCATTTAGTTATTAGAATTTAATTTAATGACATATTAATCATAACATAATTAAATATTAAGGCCAACTCAGACAGTGTCGGGCGACGCAGTCTGACGCGATTTATCGACGGGGACATAGTTAAGCCATTGTGAGAAATATTAAACATGTTTAATATTCCAAGACGCTACTGCTCTTGATGCAAACCATTGTGTCGGGCTGCGTCGTTCAACGCTGTCTGAGTTGGCATTTACCTGCAGAATGATACTTGGCATACATTTTATATTCATATAAATTACTTAATTTAATTAGTTACTATGCTTAAGTTTTAAAAATCAGAATCGTTTCAATAAGTTTAGTTTTGTTAATGTCAAAACCAGCAATGAGAATATGTCATGTTTTACATTTTTATGTCTCATAAAGAATCTAAAATCAAGGTAAGGCAGTCCCAGACGAAACTTTATTGTAAGATTAAATGTAGAAAATTCATCCATGTTTATTTTTGCAGACACACACAAATCAAATTTAAGGCATATTTTCCATTTTTTTTAAATGTGCAGACAATTACTAAATTCAGTCAAAGCAGCTACTAGAAATATCATTACATTATAAATCTTTCCCACATCAAAATCAACTGTTTCGTTTCCTAAGGACTGGGGCTATAGGAAGGCATTCTATGCTGAAGCCTACTGACCACTGCAACAAATTGGTTTTGTAACAAGTACTGCGTTTCATGCACCCGTGAAAACCGAGATGACACTTTTAGAAATCGCGAAGTGCTTTGTTCCAGTGTTCAGCCAAAACCAATGATCACTATTGCAATATATAGGTATGTGAATATCACTTTCATTTTCTGGCAGCAACTCGACTGTCTTCACAGCCCTCTATTGTTTTGGCAGCAGAGGTCGTATTTAGTTTTTCCGTATGACCCGAAAAAATAGATGACGTAGTTCAGTTTTCCTCTCTGCCCTTGTCATCAAACCAATTTTTTGAGAGAATTTATTGCTGAAAGCTTTGCAGAAACATGCAATAATTTTAGAGATAAGTTTGTATTTTTCTGAAACCGGGCAATTCCACGGTAACTGATGTTACATTTCATCCTATAATATTCACATTGTTACCTCTATAAAAACAATAGGAGAGACCCAATTTTATTTTCTTAATGTTACATGGTAGTACTAAGGGAGTGTGGAAACACAGGAATACTGTTACAATTTAAACTTTTTACTAAAGTTTGTGGTACAGATTTAGCGGAGGAAATGAGTGCGGTAAACCAACGTTACATAAATTATAATACGCACAAAAACTAGAAATTAAAACAAATTCCGATATTGAAAAAGAATGAGGAAGTTGCATGGTTTTCGAGGGGTGTTTCTCATGTGAGAAAAAATAAGCAATTAGTCGGTTTATCCAGGTTAGTATTCACGAAGTAGACTCCGATATCTTATGTCCAAGAGACAAACAAAACTTGAGTTGTATGCTATGGAATACTGCATTAGTATACTAGAATTACAAGTTAATGATTATGAATTTATACATTTTTTGTGAGATATTATAATGGCTGGTTGGTAACTGACGTTACGCTTATTTGTAATGTTGGATTATGTAGAAAGCAATTTTTAATTTATAAAGAAACACAATTTGGATGCTTTTGTGAGATAATTATAATGTAAATCTATGAATTCTATGCTTAATTTTTAAGCCAGGAAATCCACATCCTTAACATGCTTAAGTGTTGCTGCTGTAAGCGCAGGAGCAAGCAACCCCACCAGACCCACTTATACTCCTGGGTGGAGAGAAGCAATACAGATCAGTGTCTTGCTCAAGGACACAGGCAAAATGCACATTAAGGGAGTCTTGTCTCCTTTATAATATGAATGACTTTAATATTATTCTTAATGACTCTAGATGGATGTGAATTTGCTGAAATGAAATTCACTCATTTAAGTTAAGGCAATGACATGGTTTTGTTATGGACGGGTTGCAGCATCTTGTGCAATTATGTGAAATTTAAGCCACTGGGCATGGTAATATATAATAACAAGAAGGTGTGTATAAGGTTTATTGCTAAAAGTATGAAGTCATATATTATGCCTAAAACATATCTCAATAACAAAAAGCTTGAATATGTTGAATCTGTGTCATATGTTGGTCACAAAATATGTGGCAAGGACAAACCAAACCAGTGACTTGTAGCAAATCGTGTTTCAGAGAAAATGGCCAAAACATGCTGGAATGTCAAATTTTTAAAAATCTATTTTATTGCACTAAACTTAAACCTTTATATATCTACACATCATTCTATGCTGTTATTTTCCCCATTTTCAATGTTAAAACAATACTTTTTAAGGATTTAAAGATAGTTTCTGCATGAGAAATGCCTGAAATCATAAACTTTGACAGTTAATTTCTCATATATTGTACTTTAAACAGCTGTGTGGTTAAACGCTTGTAACTTCATAAGGAAATGTCCGATTTGAATGATTTTTTACCATTTTATAGCTATTATTTTACTCTCTAACACTATATTAATAACTCAAAAATCGATTTTTGCGACGAGTGACTGGTTTGGCTTGTTCTTTGCCACATATGTTGTGACCATGAGCTTGATATCAAAAGACAAGTTAGATCACTGAGCATGTGGAAATGTACTCTGTAGAAAGTTTAGCAAGTGCCGTGATCAAGTCAAATGTTTATTATTTAGTTCTTTCTCTATGAGTTTTATTGTTCTACACTTTGGTCTATGTATAGACCTTCATCTATGAACACACAGAGAGTATGTTATAGTTCAATATTTTAAGAAAAATGTTACGTAAACCAAGATATTGTAGTTCTAGTGCACTATTTGTTAATAATAATTTATTATCATTCCAAGAAATTATGAGAAAATCAATTTTTAGTTTTTTAAAACGATTTTCTACTTGTGTAAACCCATTAGTTCGTTCTGTAAATGGGATTTTTGAAAGTTTTAGGCTTTCAGAAAAATGGAATGAACTTCTATTTGTCAATCCATAATTTCTATGGATCCTGTGGGGTTTATTTTCCCCTTGTATTTATATTGTAAGTAGTTAAGTTGATGATGTTTAATTCTTGATGTAAAGTCTGAAGTAAAGAGAAATGAATGAATAATTACCATCAGCCTATCATTAAATGGCAGGAAATTATGAGGAAAAATAAAGATTTTGGAAAATAACGTACATTGGAGGATATGAATTTTAATTTTTAAATCCAGATAGGTAAAGTTGAAAATAAGTTAATATAATATATAATAATAATATAGTGAATATATAGTATACTATAGGCTTATAACACTATGGAAACTGACATTACACACTTCAATATTAATTCTCAATAAAATCACAACAGCTTTCAAAGATACCATTTAGGCTGAGCCTAAATGTTTTATTATAAAAAATTCATGGTACAAACATTTTTCAGCAGTTCAACTGCCATTTTCGGTGTAAAAATTCTTATAAGCGCTTGGAGTATTTATAAGATTAAACAAATGCAGTGAAATTTCATGGTAAGTAGGCAAACTGAAGGGTATGAAAAGGCATGAATAAAGATGAAGAAGTACATAAGACCAAATAGTAGGCGGAGCATTCAAGATTAAGGAATTGAACAATGTCAGAAAAAATGCATGAATAAAGATGAGCTCAGAAGAATCAAAATGAAAAAGTTAAATTTACATGTTGTAATTGCCTATTAAGGGAGGCCTGTTCCCACTGTATATGCAGTGCTTTCAATATTAATTTTCAGGACTTTTACTTTTTTTGCAAAGAATTGCCATGGGCTATTTGAATAACATGAAATACCATCAGCCTATCATTGTCCATGGTCAGTGGCAGCTCTAGGAAATAATTTATGGGGGGGATAAATGTCTGATTGGGAGGACTAAGTATTTACGGGTGTAACTATAGTGCGCAGCGTTATCTGAGGGCCGAAGGCCCTGGCTGGGGGCGGGTAGGGGTGAGGATGTCTCCTCCTCTCAAAACAAGATTTTTTTTTTTTAATTGGGACTTCTAGATGGTGGGAATGGCTGGGATGGGAAAACTAGACCTATTTTTTGTTTTCTTTTAGTCCGACTGCCCGACGAGCTTTGGCCGATTTGGGGGGGTGGCTTGACCAAATCGATGGGGGGGCTTAAGCCCCCACCCGCTGCCGCCACTGTGCATGGTTAGAAAGTATTAGAAAAGTAGACGTTATTGGTAACTGACGTTACATTGGAGGATAAATTACAATACTGTAATGCAATTTTCTTTATCAGAAAATAGGAGGAGCCTAATGTATCTAATGTATATCAGCAGTATGTCCCAACTAATAATTCAATACCATAAATTATTAAAATCAAGTGTATAAATTTGAAAAAGGTAAAAGTATATAATATAAAGTCTAAATTTTCATAAATTATCCAAATTTCTGCTGCAGCCATTTTGAAAAACGAATAGCCGTCTACTTAATATTAAATATATATTAAAAATATATATATTATTAATATATATATAATAATAATATATCTTCAGAAACGTCAACTCATGTACTAAATACCGGTAGTCATATAAAATTGATTTTCCAAAATTTTTTGAATTTTTTATGTTCATGTCATATTTTACATGGAATTACCCACCCAGTATATTTTGTTAGTTATATTCATCCACAACTGGGAGTATACCGAATTCTATTTTTTGACCAAAAATGTTAAATGTATTGTGAATAGAAATTCCCCAAATTTATCTGTGGTGCATGCATGTTTATTTTGTTATTGAACAGTACTGGTTATTGAATCTAATTTCAATTTTTCAATACTTTCACATACAATACAAAAAGTGGCCAGGAAATAGTAGCTAATCAAGCTTTGCCCCTCTTATCTACAAACATTTAAAATCAACGCGCTTAAATATCACGAATAAATAAATAAGTAAATAAATAAAAATA